AATGGAAGAAAGAAAACTGGATACAGGAAGAGGAACCCCCCCAAATTAATTCGACATAGGTTCACAATTTGACCCAACTGGAAATCCAAAATTCACAGGGGCGCCTGGGTGGTTCGGATGCTTAGGCGTCCGACTTCGGCTCCAGCCGTGATCCCGGGGACCTGGGATTGAGCCCCATGAGAGGCTCCCTGCTTGGAGGGGAGTCAGTCGGCTTCTCCCTCTGCCTCTGCCTGCAGCTCCCCCTGGTTCCTGCTCTTTCACACCTGCTTGCTGTCTCTCTCTCAAATGAATGAATAAACCGTAAAAAAAAAAAAAAAAAAAAAAAAAGAAATCCAAATTTACTAAGATAATTTATATGGCAAAAGATAAAATGAGGTCAACTGGCTTTTGGCCCTCTAAAACATAGGTTCTGAATTAACGTTAATGTCTGCTAAGATGTACCAGTTGGGTAACCTTCATGGATTCGATACCAGGGCTCCAATTATGCTTGTACCTAGTAAAATAACCGTATTTTCTAGCTTCTGTATTTAATGCTTTGACATCTCAGACTTGCTGACTTTGGAGGGACTGTCCCTGGCAGGCTTAGTTAATTCTTAGAAAAAGTCCACAACTGGCCTGGGAGCATACCTTTCACATCCAAACCAACCGGTACAGAACCCTTACTGCCAACCACCTCATCTTAAGCAGCTCTGGGCCACTATGGCCTCCCTGATCACCGCAAGGGCGGGACAGACTCCTGCAGACACCACTCTGGCCTGGAGCCCCCTGAAATTACTCAAACTAGCCAGTCTTAAACGTGCTTATCCTGCCTCACCTGTCCCTTCCCATGGAAACCACAATAAAGGGTCTTGCCCACATTTTCCCTTCACTCCCTCTTTCTCCTGACCAATCCTGGTGCTTCCCCAGGTGGCCCTGCAAGGCTCTCAGAACCTCCTTTCTTGGGGCCTCTAAATCTACAAAACTTCTTCCATTGTGACAGTTACTTCTATATCTTCCTAACTTATCATACCTGATTAAAATAAATCCTGGTCCCCTGAAAACCTCTGAGACCCCTAGGGCCACCTGGGTGGCTCAGTGGGCTACGCTTTCTTCTCAAGTCATGGTCTCAGGTTCATAGGATCCAGCTCCATGTTAGGCTCCGTGCTCAGGGTGGAGTCAGCTTGGGAATCGCTCACTCGGCCCTTCCCTCCGCCCCCCCCCGCCCCAACTGGGCTCGTGCACTAGGTGTCTCTCTCTTTAAAATAAAGAAATAAAATCTTTAAAAAAAAACACAAGGGAGCCCAACAAATTTAAGGATGGGGAATATTTTGCTAATATAGATTTGGCCAATATGTTCTGTTCCATGCGTATTTCAACATCCTCTCGGTCAAATGTGCCTTGACTTTGAAGGGGACACATTTTACCTTGTTAAGCACAGGGCACCCAAACCTCTCTGCTATCACAGACATCTTTGTGGGCAGGATCTTACTGCACCCGTCCTTCTCCAGGGACATAGGTATGACATCACATTTACGACTACCTACTGTGAGGACATTTGTTTGACACACTTGTTAAGGACATGCAGGTGCAGGGGCGACTGAGTGGCTCAGTCCATTAAGCGTCTGCCTTCGGCTCAGGTCATGAACCCAGGGTCCTGGGAACAAGCCGCGCATCAGGCTCCCTGCTCACTGGGAAGCCTGCTTCTCCCTCTCCCTCTGCCCCTACCAGCCCCTTGTGCTCTCACTCTCGTGCTCTTTCAAGTAACCAAATAAAATCCTTACAAACAAGGAAGGACATACAAGTCCAAATTCTGTCAGTATTTTTTTTTTTTTTTTTTTGGTTCTAGAGGCAACATATTCCTTGTTTATAAATTTTACATAAGCCCATTTAGGCTGCTACTTGTCACTGAGCCCACGCTGGGTGGGGCTCCCCTCAACAAAAGGCTCTAGGATCTGTCCAAAACAACTGTGAGGGGGCGACTGGCTGGCTCAGTTGGTGAAGCGTCGGCCTTTGGCTCAAGTCATGATCTCAGGGTCCTGAGATCCAGCCTGGCAGGGAACTCCCTGTTCAGTGGGGAGCCTGCTTCTTCTCCCACTCCCTTTGACCTCCTCCTCCAGCTCCAACTGTCTCTCAAATACATAAATAAAATCTTAAAAAAAAAAAAAAAATCACCCGTTAGTGCCCTAAGTAAAAAGGCTTTAGCAACTACCTCTCCAGCTTCCTGGAGTCACTGGAATCGTCCATGGACTCCCAATGCAAGAAATGGCCCTCCTTGGCCCTGGGTTATAGACCATGAAAGCAGCAATTGCTGACCATGCACTGGGCTCTCCTGGAAACGGAGTCTCTTACAGACTCTGAGCCTTCATATCCCGCTGTCTGCTCTGCCTCGGGTCATGATACCCCCACCAGCTTAATGTAGTTACCAAGGCCTTCTTGCTACAGGCTGAAGCCAAAGTCTGCATATCCAACCTGCAGGTGGGGGTGGCTGCTTCTATCCACAGTCCATTGCCAGATTCCATGGTGCTGGAGGACGTCAGCCTTTCCTTCTACCCCTTGGCTACCTAAGGATTCCCTTGGGATCAACTGAGTGACCATCAATGACCGTTGATACATTTTGGTTTTGAAGACCAACTCCCCCTCTTGTTCACGTGACAATTTCACTTCCTAGAGAAGCACCTGTCCTACTCCTTAAAAGTCTCAGTCCCAGGTTGAAATTGATGTCTAGATATCAGAGTCCACTGTGATGGAAAGCCTGAGATTAAGATTCAATAGGAAGTGTTGTCTTAGTATCAGGGAACATCAGAGGGCCTCCAATGGCCTCGGTCTCACCCAAAGTTCCCTTCCCCCTCTGCTCCCACAGATCAGGTCTCCTGGCCAAACGACCTTCTTTATCCCAGGGACCAGGCACAGTTTCTCCCCAAGGAGTAAGGTCCATTTCCCTGACAGCGTGTGCAATTATCCAGCAAGCCAGTCATGCCCTCCTGCAGGAAGTAGGGCTCACCGTCACTCTCTTGTTACTACAAGGTCTGCCCCCGCCCCAAAGCCCTTCTTCATTCTGCTCCCAGGTAAAACCCCCTTGTGGCCCTGCATGGTGTGGGCCACGAGTAGACATGGGTAATAAATTAGTGTCGAGCTCATCTGTTCAGCATCCGGACATCCCATAACTTTAGGGTGGGAATCACTCCCTTTACCAACGGGTGAAGAGGAGAAAAATGAAATCCTTCTGCTTTGTACCTTTGGCAAGGCACAACGATGAGGCTCATGCACTTGAAGTTCTTTGGATAAGAATCTATTGGGGGCTTGTAAGAATTCCCTGCGGCTAAAGGGCAGCCTGTATGTGAATGATGCGCAGGAGGGAAGGCTGCAAAAGCAAGGGCTTGGATGGTCTCCTAAAGGTCGAACTCCAAGCAATGAGGGAACCCACAAATAATGGCAGCAGGGAAGTGACATCAGATTTTCGTCTCAGTTCGCCCTGACAGCAGCATGGAGAATGGATTCAAAGGAGGCCGAGTGTGGAACCAGCAAGATCAGTAGGCAGTCTACTGCACTAGTCTGTGCAAGAGACAGGAATGGGTGAACCAGAGCACTGGCAACAGAAAGGGAGGGAAGGATTTAAGATATTTGGCAGGCTGAAGATACAGCACAATGGAAAATTAATGGAATGAGATCTTTCAAGAAGTCTGAATGGGAGGCGCCTGGGTGGCTCAGTCAGTTTAGCGTCTGCCTTTGGTTCAGGTCATGATCTCAGTGACCCGGGAATCAAGCACCACATCAGGCTCCCTGCTCAGCAAGGGGCCTGCTTCTCCTTCGCCCTCTGCCACCCGCCCTGCCTGTGCTCTCCTGCTCTGTCAAATAAATAAATAAAATCGTTAAAAAGAAGAAGAAGAAGAAGAAGAAGAAGAAGAAGAAGAAGAAGAAGAAGAAGAAGAAGAAGAAGAAGAAGAGGGAGAAGGAAGAAGAAGGAGAAGGAGAAGGAGAAGGAGAAGGAGAAGAAGGAGAAGGAGAAGGAGAAGGAGAAGGAGAAGGAGAGAGGAGAAGGAGAAGGAGAAGGAGAAGAAAAGAAGTTTGAGTGGATGGTTTCCAGAGTATAGTGGAGTAATGAGCCTGGCACTGCAAACGAAGATTTGGAGTGGCTTCTGAGGAAAGGAACAAGGGAGTTGACCATGGACATTTGAAGTAAAAACTGATTAAATACTGATCAGTAGGAGCTAGTTCGGTAATTTAGGGTATATCCACAAAGGCCTGCATTTCCTTTTAAAGAATGAATTGGAATTCATTCACATTTGTAAAGATCTCGAAGGCAGAGTGATTTTTTTTTTTTAAAAGCAAGTCATAGAATACTATACGCCCAAAAAGACAAATATACATATATTTCTAAAGGCCTGAGATAAATCAGGTTACCCATGAAGTAGATTCCCAGGCAACATAAAATGAAATGGAAAAAACAATTAAAAATAAAAAAGGAGAAAGAGAAATGGGACATAACTGGGAAAATCAAACTCGCATTTTTTAAAAAAATGTATTCATCTTAAACTTTCATGCTATACACCCAGTTTCTCCAACAAGGCGTGGGTGCTCATGTATTTGATAAGTTGGGAACATTAAAACGAGTGGATGTTTTCCTTACCAAAGGTATATGTATATACATGCTCCTTATGAAAACATCAAAGCATTACAAACAATACTGGAAGTACCATTGACCGCAGCCCCCAACCCCACCAGTGTCTACTCTCATAAGAAATACCCACCATTTTCAGTTTGGTGAATACCTCTGCAGTCATTAAAAGATGCCTTTTTTTGTTAACTCATAAAAGAATATTTTTATTAAGCTGAAAGCAAGACTGCAAATATATTACGTTTTGCAAAAGGACATTTTGGGATTAGGTAAACACACAGAGTGACTTGGGGTCTTCCGAGCACTGTCTCATCTCTGGCTTGAGAATCCTCTATTTCTTTGAGAGGCCTTTGGCCGCCATTCCAACCTTCTCCGCAGGTGACAGTATTTGGGGTGCGTACGTGGGCAAAGCATCAGTGACGGCATTTAGAAGAAGGTGCTCCGATCCATCCGCTTCCGGTCCAGGTGGGGTAATAAGAGACACCGTTGTGGTGCGGGGCTTCACATCTTTTTTCCGGGATGTGGATGCTAGGGTAGTGTTCAGACGTGCTGGGCCTTGTTTCATAGCCAGTTTTCCCCTTCCTCCGGGATCTGGGGGCTTCACGTCATGAGCAGAGGGCTTTGGTGGTGGCAAAGCTGAATGAGATTCCGCTTCTAGAAACTGGACGAAAAGCCCTGAAAAAGAATTCTTGGCCATAGGTCGGTGATTTGGCTTCACATGTGTGTTGGGGGCGCTTTTGGATCCAGGCCCCCGACTCATCCAGCTGGTACCACCACCTGGCCCTTCACTGAACAGCTGCCGCATCTGGTCTTCTCGGATCCCCAGCATGCTTCCCATCAACCTTAAGGCTTCCTGCCGTTCAGCGTCAGGGGCTTGGAAAGATCCCAGGAAGAGTCTCCTTAGTAGGGTTTTGTCCACCATTCCTTCGGACTTACTGACTAAGTTCATCAGTTTCTTCTGTGTGTCCTCCAGGATTTCCTGCTGGACCTCATTCTGTTTCTGGAATTCTTGGAGTTGGTCTTCCTTCAGCTCCAAGTCAGCATTTGTTTTATGTAATCGTCCCTGCAATGACTTCAGTTTTCCTTCGAGGCTGTCTGCCTTTTCCATCCATTCGGCGAGTTCCAACTTGAGGTCAGCTAGGATGTGACCATACTGCCTTCCTTCTTCCTGCGAGGCAGCAAGCTGGAGCGCAGTGTCCTCTTTCTGCTGGGTCACCACGTGCAGTTGCTCCTGCAGCGACTCTACCTGCAGACTGGCTCCTCGGCTGGCATTTTCCATGGCAGTGGAAGACAAAACGAGTCTTCCCTGCAAGACCGTCACTTCCTTCCTGAGTTGAGCCACTTTGTCTTCTGAGGCCAGAGCTTCCCGGCGATGAGCGTCTTCGGCTTCTAGAGCGAGGTGTCGCCGTCTCTCCAGCTCCTGGGTTAGGCGTAATTCGCTCTCACGTAAATGGCGAACCTCCTTCTGGAGGGCACAGGTTTCCATTTGTTTCTGTGTCAGGGCCAACAGGACTTCATCTCTCCCCTGTTGGCACAGAACTGTCTTTCCCTGCATTGATGGAACTGCACTGACCGGCCGGTTCAATACCCCGGTCTCGTGCTCTTCTCTCTCTTGCGATAGTTGCTCCAAAGCAAGTGCCTTCTCTTTCATCGCAGCACCCTGGGATTCCTCCTCTCTCCGCATCACTGAAAGCAGCCTATCTGTCTCTTGCAGTGCCTCATCTCCCACTGCCTTTTCTCGAGAGTTTTCCTCGACTTTTGCATTTTCCTCTCTCGGTTGACACACATCCATTTCCAACTCTGCTATTCTCTCCTTCAGATTGGTGACCGTCTGCCTCAAAAGTTCATTTTCACTCACTTGGCTACGGAAGTTCTCCTGCAAAGAAAGCAAGTCCTCACTTTTCGCTTGGATTCGGAGCTCCTGATCCCGAATGAAGTTTTGTAGAACGGCCTGTTTCTCCTTCAGCTGCTCGATGTCGGAATCCCTGTGTTCCTGTTCTGGGCCTTCTCCTTCCCACGTGGCAGCCACTGAATCAGTCCATCTCTGCTTATCTTCCTGGAGGGTTCGAATCATCCTATCTTTTTCTTGCATTGATTTTCTCAGCTCTTCTACCTCCACTTGGAGCAACTCAGAAGCCTCACCCACTCTGTCAGATTTCACGGGCTCCAGAGAGTCCGCTGACTCTGAGCAGTCGGGGGAGGGCTCGAGGAAAATCACGTCCAGTTTCCCTAGAAGGAGATCCTTGGCATTGCAAAGCTCCCCGATGCTGAGCTGAATTTGTGCCAGTTCCTTCTCTAAATGTTGTAATTTTATTTCATTGCCTTTGTACGTCTGCATCAGGTCACTAGAGGTCGTCGGTAGTTCAGAATCCTTCTCGCTGCTGGTGAAAGCCCGCGCCTGGAGTTGTGCCAGCTCTCTCTCAAGCTGGGGTGACTCACGCTTCATATTTTGGACTGTGGTCATCACCTGCTGTTTCCACTCTTCCATGATCTTCACTCGCTGTTTTAATGTGTCCCGTTCCTGTAGAAGCTGCTTGAACTGATCCATATGAACGCCTCGAACCTCATTACCAGGGCTGGAGGGTTGCAGGAGTGTCAATAAAGTCTGACATTTCTGACTTAACGCATCCACTTCGAGGTCTTTTTCTCGAACGATGTGTGATAAATTCTGAATCGTTTCTCTAAACATCTCCTGACCACTACTGTCCATTCTAGTGGACAGTTTTTGATTTTCCTCTTGCATCCGCCGGAGGTCTGCTTCTGTGGCAGCCATCCTATCCGCCATTTTGTCATACTCTGTCCTCAGATTGCTGTTCTCCCTCGTTTTCTCATTTAAGACCGCCAAGACCTGTTCGCTTTTCCAAGCGTACTCTTGCAATTGCCGCTGAAGTCGCTCCACGTCCCCGTTCTGGCTGTGAGAAGCCGCAGAGATCCTGCTGGAAAGACCCTGAATCTCCAAGTCTTTCTGCTGGATAATCTGAGTTAGTTTACCAATCTCCTCTTTGGAGAGCCGATCGATCTGTTCCGTCAGTCGGATGTTCTGTTCAGTTAGAAGCTTCATCTCCAGTTCGTGTTCTTTGATTCCTAGGACTGATATTTGAGTTTCGGCTTCACGTGAATCAAGCTTTTCACTTGCGTTTTGTCTGGGAAGAGGCTGACTGGTTGGGACTTCCACATCATCACAGTCTTCTGTCGGAATGTGCTGGCTTTTGTCAGGCAACCGGGCTTTCATTTGGTCTATCGTGTCCTGCAAATGCTGAATCTCCTCGTCTTTCGCTGAAAGGAGCTGAGCGTGTTCAATATTCATCTGCTCCTGCTGGTATTGGAGCTGCTCCACTTTCTGCTTCTGCTCTTGTAAAGAATGAAGCAGTCCTATCTTCCCCTGCTGCTGGTTGTGAATGATCTTCTGCTGCTCTCTGATTTCCTCCTCGAGATCATCCTTTAACTCCTGGAGTTGAAACACCTCACACTCCAGTTCTACGATCTCGTCTAGGATTTTAGGGTCGAGCGCAGGAACAGAGCGACTCTGTTGTCCTAGGCTCTCCAGTTCTTCTCTCAGATGAGGATTTTCGCCTGTCACGGATGGGAGACACCTGTCTTTGTCCTCCACGGATGGCTGGGAAATGTCATTACTTCTGAAGGTTTGGGTAGACTGACCGAATTCCTCCTGAAGCTCTGGACTTCCTGTAAGTTCTTCAATATACATCTCTTTCTCTTTAACGAGTTGTGTCAATCGCTTCTGCTCCTCCAGAGCAGAGGACAGCATTTCCTTCGTTTCTGTATGGTCGGCGTCCATCTGCTCGATCCTCTTTTTGAGGTGTACTATTTCCAGGTCTTTCTCTTGACTGTGTTGAATGCAATGCACATGCTCTAAAGGGGACAAATCTTTGATAGTTTGCTCATCCTTGTTTGTTTCCTCCAACAGCTTCTTTTCCGCCCGAGCCAATTTTGCTATTAACCGTCCTTTTTCTATTTTTAAAGCCCTCACAGCAGTGTTGTTTTCCAGAGAATCCTCGTTGTTCCGGAGAATAGATTCTTCCAGCTGATGTCTTACATCCTGGAGCGCCAAAACCAACTTTTGGTTTTCTGCTCTGAGATCAGAAGCAACGTTGTTTAAACGGTCATTCAGCCGCTCCATTTCTGCAAGTTGTTGCTTCAACCTTCTAAGCTCAGTTTCCCTTTCTTGAAGTAAGTCATCTTTCCCATGACTGGCAGACTCTTGATGTTGCAGGTCTTCTATCCGTCTTTCATACTCGAGGAGTTGTTTGCGGTGCCTGTCAGTGATGTCGGCCAGTTTTTCTTGATGGACACTGTGCAGTATCGCAACTCCGAGTTGATGTTCCTCGATCTCCCTCATCCGCCTCTCTTCTAGGTCCCTGATGGTGCTCTTCAGTTTCCAGATGGCATTGGAGTCTGAGCTATTCGGTCCCTTGGACAAATGTTTCCAAAGTGTAAGATCAGCCTCCAGTCTTTGGATCTCATTGAGGAGTCTATTGATTTCTGTCTGAGATGATATGACATCACCAAAGTCCATGGTGAGATCCGAGTTGGAGCCGGTCAAGGAAGTCTCACTGCCATCCACTCCTCCCTGGGAATGGCCTAGGCCAGAGCCCAGGCCACCAACCCAGGAGCACATCTTCGCGGGTCATATAACTGTCGCGGTCCGCTGTGGAAAAGCGTCCAGCGCAGTCGGACTACCCCGCCAAGTGTCCCAGAACGCCTGCTTGCGCCAGGCTAAGAATCAGAAGACAACAGGCGTTTCTAGGCAACGCCTGCGCGGGCCCGGCACGCGCCTCCCCTGCGCAGGCCACGTTGCTAGGAAAGCCCGAGACCTTGGGCCTTCCCAGGGCCGACTCTGGCCACCGGTCCCGGTCCCAGACGCTCAGCCCCACGACTTCCCACGCAGGGCTGGGCCCCTTCCCCTGTTCCCCGCTTCCTGGCTGTCCTGGGTGGGCCCCTAGCGAGTGCTCCTGCCTGACTGCCCCCAGGTGCCCGCCCACAGAAAATGCATCTGGCCCTGGACTTTCCCCCAGGAAATGCATGCAATGCATGCAATGCATGCAATGCATCCATTCACCTAGGAGAGCAGATCCTAGGTGCATTTGACAAATATCTACACCTGCGCAGAGGCACGGCCCTCAAGGAGACTTTGGGCATTTCCAGCCTCCAGAGGCTCCAGAGTGTTCCGTCCTTCCGTGCCCTGCCAGCTCTGCGGGGACAGTGCGTCCCACACCGGGGTTTGGCGGTTCACCGGTGGCTCCGTGCGCTGCGCGCATCCGCTGCCTCGCGGAGGTGTGCGGCTGGACCCGGCAGGGGGTCGCGGGCGGCGGTGGCGGTGCCCGAGAGGGGGCCTCCGGGCCCTGCACAGGGCGGCCCCGGGGTTCCCGCCCTGGGTGGAGGACGGGCTGGGTACCGCGTCCCGGGTCTGGCCTCCCAAGGCCCCGACCTGCCGCGCCACTGGATGAGAGGCGGCGAGGGGGGGGGCGCCGGGCCCACAGCCGCTTCCACTGCCGCCTCGGGTGGACATGAAGCGACGTCGGCCCCCCTCCCCCCGGGCGATTCCTCGAGCTGCCCGGCCCTGGCCGTGCCGGCCCCCGCCGCCGCCGCCAGCAAGAAGCAATCCAGCTGCATGAAGCAGCTGACCAACCAGACCGTGGGCAGGCGAGCGCGTCGATCCGGATCGGCAGGAGCCCAGACCAGGCTCGGGCGCGGGAGGGCCGGCTGCTCTCCTGGTCGCGCGCTCTGTCCCTTGCCGCCGCCCCACATCAGGCCTCGGGGTCTGGGCCTGGGGCTGCGCCACGCCAAGACCTGGAGCCCGGCTCGGTGCCGCTGCCCGAGCCCCTGGGGAGCAGCTGGGTGGGTCGGCTGTCCCCGTCGCCCTCTGTCCAGGCCCCACCCAGCATCGCCCTGGGCGCACTGGACCCGAGCCTTCCCCTGCCCTCCCCCGGGCTTTGCCCTGGCTGAAAACTCCGGGAACCAGTGAGCCCCAGGCCGAGCGGACGCTGTGCTCTGCGGGCGATGGCCTCAGGCTTTCCGGGTCGCCCCGCCGCTGCAGACCCTCCACCTCCCAGTGCCTCATGGCACTAAATAAGTAAGGGGCCATCAGAGCCCATCGGATCCGCCTACGAGGTTCGGGCGTCCATCCAGGCACTGTAGAGGTGCCGCTGTCTCCAAAGCCGGGCCCCTGTGGACCGGACTGCCCAAGACCTTGACATTGAGAAATTGGGAACTGCGAGGAAAGAATTGTGGAAACGCCTTGGGACGACTTTTAGTTTAATTTTGAATAGCTTTTGAAAAAGCCTTTCTCCCTTTGGATTTGGGAGCCGATTCTTCTCCAGGTTTCTTTGGGGCTGCTTTAATGCTTGACAGGAAACATGATCGATTATGAAATGACAGAACAGACCGGAATTGGTAGACCATCAGGCTGCTGCAACAGGAACGACGGGTGGTTCTGAGAGCTCCTGCAGGTGACTGTCATGTGCCCCGTTATCTGGGGCACATCTTTCAACGTCTTTGGGGCAGGTGGCTGTACTGGACCTACTCTTTAGGCTGGCAGACATATGAAAGTGTGAGTTTTCCACAGCTTTTGCTTCTTTTTTTCCCCAATAGTGGGGTCAAAAGGGGAGTTCAGTCTGACCAAAGCACGTGTGTGCATGGCACGTCCATCCTGTGTGTTCTCCATTCATAGAGCATTGCAGGGCCACGTGCTCGTCCCAAGATCGAGGACCTTGTGAGCAACCCCACAGTGAGGTTCGGTGGTGCTGTGCGGCTTTCTCGTGACTATCATTGGAAAGTCGACCTCAGAATACTTACCTGGGAGAAGATCTTCATCCTGAGGACAAATACACAGTACGTTTTCTAATTCTGCATTCCCTCATACATTGACCGACCATCTTCATGGACTGAACACTAGGCCCCAAACAGCAAAGGTGGACTTAGCGCCTTAAATTACGAACACTATGGTCAGAAATGTATTTTTTAGGTGACTTTGGTCTCCGCATGGAGAACGGACGGAGGACAAAAGTTAGGAGGATCTCACAGCCATCCAGGAAGAAGGTCCAGGGAAGAAGTCATGGGGAGCCTGAACTGGGGCAGCCGCCACGGGGATGGACACTGAGAGGTGGGGACGCACTGAGAGGTGCTGGGGAAGTAGAACCTAACAGACTTTTCCAAAACCCAGACTGAGACAGATTAGGGAGGGTCAGGAAACCACTGTGGGGGGGGGGCGGGGGGGGAACCAGCATTTAGGGGATCAAATAGGATACAAGAGCAAATATCACAAAGCACCCCACACTGTGAGGGCGAGCACCAGCTTGTGGTACTACTACTTTTTCTGTGAGAGGAGAGCACGGTGGGGGGAAAGGGCCGGCACTCTGGAGCCGGGGAATGGGCTTCCGATCCCAGCTCCACCACGTGTCTGCTGTGAGGCGCTGGAAGTCACTCACCTCCCCGGGCCAAGCGTTCCTCGTCTGCACAGTAGAGAAAGTGATAGCACCTCACGGGGTTGTGAGGATTCCTGAGGAAATACATACACGGGAGACTCTCCCAGCAGGACCTGCCCTAGTAAGCGCCGTGGCTGTGCCTTTATGACTTATGACACGGGACACAGACGTGGGGCCTGAGGTACACACACACCGTGAATCGACAGACCGCAAAGATTCCCCTGAACAAGCACAAGGCCCTGTGTAGAGAACAGGGAAGGAACCCGGACTTGCAGGAGCTGCAGTCCTATTGTCCTGGTTCTGCCACTAACCAGACCCGTCGCCTTTCCCGTCAATGAGCGTAGTTACATACACCTGTTCTTGCCCCCTAACAGAGCAGGTGAGGGACCAAATCAGGGAACAGCTACAAAAGGCCTTTGTTTCATATCACCATCACCCAGCCTTGCACATCCTCAAACCGTACCGAGGACACTGTCATGACGACCATAAAATCATCGTTATCAGACATGGATGGAACTGGAGGGTGTTATGCTGAGCGAAATCAGTCAATCAGAGAAAGACATGTATCGTATGACCTCACTGATACGAAGAATTCTTAATCTCAGGAAACAAACTCAGGGTTGCTGGAGTGGTGGGGGGTGGGAGGGATGGGGTGGCTGGGTGATAAGGCATTGGGGAGGGTATGTGCTATGGTGAGCGCTGTGAATTGTGTAAGACTGTTGCATCACAGATCTGTACGTCTGAAAGAAATAATACATTATATGTTAAAAAAAAAAAGAAGATAGCAGGAGGGGAAGAATGAAGGTGGGGAAATGGGAGGGGGAGATGAACCATGAGAGACTATGGACTCTGAAAAACAAACTGAGGGTTCTAGAGGAGAGCGAGGTGAGAGGATGGTGTAGCCTGGTGATGGATATTGGGGAAGGCACGTTCTGCACGGAGCACTGGGTGTGATGCACAAACAATGAATCACGGAACGCTACATCAAAAACTAATGGTGTAATGAATGGTGAGTAACATAACATAATAAAAAAGGAAACCTCTTCCTTATCGTCAATATGGCAGATGCAGGGGCTCTGGGTCTCACAATTCCACTGGCAGGGCTCTTCCACACGTGCTGAGGACATGTCTACAAGGACTTTTTTTTATCATAACCCCTGTTGCAACAGCAAAGGATGGGAAGCCAGGCACCTATCCTTCAGCGAGGCCCTGGGGACATCACGTATGTGGCTGAGGGTGGCAGCAGGTGCAAGCAGCTGGGGACAGGGGCGCGAGACAGGCAGTCACTGCATTCCTTCTGAATATATTTTTAACATTTTTGAACCAGGCGGGCACCTTCACGAATGAAACAATTCGGGAAAGAAGAAGGGGAATTTTCATTTACCTTTAATCTCCAGAAGGTGGTATCTACCCCAGCCCCAAGATTTAGAATTTGATAATGACATTCTGTCTTCCGTAGAAATGCCTTCAGCAGCTGGCTGATGCCATGGACTCGAGCAAAATATCCCGAGAGACAGAGACAAGCTATCGCTCAGTCAGGTTGGAAATCATCCCTGCAGAGCCCAGCCCAGGAGAAGAGCCAATGAGGACTCTTCTGCTCTTCTTTGGGGTCAGCGGTTTATCTGTGGACTTCATGGGAGAAAGAGTGACTTTCACATTCTCTTGTTTTTTGTTTTCGGTTATGTTAATCACCATATAGTGCTTCAGTAGTTTTTGATACAGCGTTCCATGATTCATGATTTGCGTGTAACACCCAGTTTTTTTTTTTTAAAAAGCTGTTTGAACTCAAGTAAGTACAATCTACTTGATGGTGGAATTAACCATCTTAAAAAAAAAAAAAGTCCCATAATTTTACATAAGAAAGACAAGGGTTTTACATGAAAAATCAGATCTAAATGTTCCTCTTGGAAATGTACTTTCTCTTGGTTAGGTGTAAGCCTCTCAAGACTCTGTGAAAACTCAACAATGCGAGATCATGACGAAAATAAGATTCTGGGGTCAGGAAATGGGGCAGATAAATGTCAAAGCAAAAAAAAAAAAAAAAAAAGAAAAGAAAAGCCGTATTTCCACCACGTTCCCTTCCTCTCCATCCTGTGTGGGTAAGAGCCCCTGTTTATAAAGTGGCCTCATAGACCGTCTGCGGGAGGGGAAGGCATGAGCAAACGTTGCCGAATAAATGGACTGGTTCAGCTGTGGGTTGGGGAGCTGGAGTGAAGGCGATGAGGAATAAAAGGGGGGAAAATGGAAAACAGTATCTGTTCTAAGTGGGGGAAATGGAAGATAATATCTGTTCTAAAGCCCTGTTGCTTAAAGTATAACTACTTTAAGAACAAAATTTCAGTAGCATTTAGAAACTTACTGCAATGTGACATAGGAATTCTACGTCTATTGATTCTCCTCATAAATAACTTGAGCTTCTATTTGATGTGTCTCTTGCATTTTATCTTTCTAGGAAATCATTTTTCATGTATGTTATAGAATATCGTCCACAACAGAGAGATTATTGGAACAAAACTTTAAAGATGCTCACCACATGTTGCCTGGGAAGCCCTCTCCTAGGGGGTCCGGTCTGGAGATGCCAGCCCATGCAGAGGAAGAAGGAAGGAAGGCCGGCTGACACCCTGCCTGGGGCGTCTAGCTCCCAGGGCCCCAACTTGGGTTCCCACCTCTGTAGCCCTGGTTAGGAAAGCTGCCTCAGGAGCCTGGGAGAGAGGATTTCAGGCCTCTTAGCCAGGCCTGGCCCCATCTCCCTGATGCCTGGGTTCACCCTCAGCTCCAAGTAAGGTCCATGTCCTTATTCTCAGGAACCACCACTTTGCACTTTCTTTCCATTTCTTACAGAATCTACCCATAGGCTCCATCTTTAGGGTGAGGATTCCCTGCATGCCCAAGGACTGTGGTCATTTGGTCACTTTCTCAATCTGACTAAGTCACCCTCCCATCTCAAATCCCTTCACTGCCTTGATAGAAAGGACTTCAGAGCCTAACAGTGTTACTATCATTTTACTAAGGTCAAGAAAGGAATTCCTTACTTGACCAGACAGTTCACTGTAAAAGATAATATAAATGGCTCTTAAACATATAAAAACGATCTTCAACTTCACCCCCCAAAATAAGAGGAATATAAAATAAAATGACGGGGGCACCCGGGTGGCTCAGTCGTTAAGCCTCTGCCTTTGGCTCAGGTCATGATCCCAGGGTCCTGGGTTCGAGCCCCACTTCGGGCTCCCTGCTCCTCGGGAAGCCTGCTTGTGTTCCATCTCTCACTGTGTCTCTCTCTGTCAAATAAAGAAAGAAAATCGGTAAAAAAAATTATACAGTAACATTACTGAAGACACCATCTTTCACATATCAGATTAACCACGATGAAAAGGTTTCTAATACACCGTGCTGGTGAGGATGTTGGGAAATGAGCACTTCCATTCGCCACTGGAGAGAATGAACACTGGAACTCCCTCTTTTGAAGAGTGAATCCCTAAAAGCTCATCTACCTCAAAAGGCCAACAGAGGCACGTCTGGTACTCCATTACAAATGTCGGCAGACTCAGCCATCCGTCTTGGTGCTCGCACACATGGCCCGTCACCGTCCCCACGGCAGCCATTTCTTCCCTTTCTTTACTCGTGCGCCTACCTCCTTCCCCAAGACCCTAGACAGCACAGAACCTCACCTCATCCCTCACCTAGAAAACCTGCCACCACTTATTCCCTCAGCAAACCCACGGGTGAGAGCCAGTCAGAGAACTCTGCTCGACCGGAAGTTCTGTGTCCATAGGAAAGGAGATCCAGGATCGTTCCGGAAAACTCACGAACGACTACCTAAGTATTTCCCCCGGCTCTGGATTAGGAACCGGTCCTTCCACACCCTTTAAGCAAGTCCTAGTGGGAAAACCAGGAACAAAGAAACACAACAGCCACAACCTAGAAAATGTTATAGTAGCCTTCACTTTCTGGTCTACACTATAACCTGGAAAATGCTATGGTAGCCTAAACTCTCCCCGGTCTACACTACAAGGAACCAAACTTTCAGTGTTCTAAACCAGGGAGCTGAAGCCCAGATTACCACTGAAGGGCTTCTGACAACCGTTGAGGGAACCAGCCTTAGGACAAGGAGAAGTACTGGAAGGACACTGCATCCCTAAAACCATGCGAAGCCCCTGTGGGCCTATAGCCTGCTCTGCCCCTCATCGGATAATGTGAATTAATAAATGCCCCTCATGTGAATTAATAAATGTCTTTACCATTTCAACCAAATGGAGGGGCAGCTGGGTGGCTCAGTCAGTTGAACGGCCAACTCTTGGTTTAGGCTCAGCTCAATTGTGTCCATATCAATTAGATCTATGGCAGAGAGTACATCCTCCGGTTCTTTCTTTTGTTGTGAATTCCTCCTTCTATTCCTTTTGCCCAGAGAAGAATGGAGGAACAAGAGAGCAACATAAAAAATATCAACCACGACGCAAGCAAATACACACTAGTCAAATCCGAAGAGGTCAGAAACCAAAAAAGAGAAGAAAAAAGAAATGTGGGGGGTGGCTGGGGGGTGGGAGAAGAGAGAATATTATCTCCCAGGTGGTCAAACCTCCATGAAATCCTGGGTGTATTTTGGCCTGTTTGTTAAAAGACACTAAATCCCAGAAGTGTAAAATCACCAAGGTTACATATATACAGACATAAAATTGAATGTAGCAGAAGGAAGCAAAACTGAAGACTATCTCTAAAAAATGGAAATGTAGAAAATGACAATCAAAAACGACTTAAAATGAAAGAGTTGATAAAATAAGAAACTAGTTGGGAAGAAAAAAAGAAAAGGAAAATTTTAAACTGCAAGATAAACGAATCATGAAATAACCTTTGAATTCAATTTACTGTTTTCCCCTAGTGCTGGAGTTTTGCACTCCTGTGGGCTCCTAAACTTCTTCCCCTGTTCTTCCAGCTGCTTTGCTCGGGGAGTGGCCTGCTGTGCTGACCCTCAGGTGTCTTGGCCTGGGGGGAGTTGTACCCCCCCTTGCAGGGGGGGGGGGGGGGCGGGCTCAGTGTAAACTGCTTGTAGTTGCTCTATGTGATTCTATTCCCCGAAGGCTCTCTGGGCCACTTGAGAGGATGAAAAGAAAAATGGCCACGCCCCGATTTCCAGGCCCGGAGCGAAAAGATCGAGGTCCCCTCTCTTCAGTAAACTGTCAGGGATAAGCGGTCTTCAGTTTTGTGTGTGCCAAAGTCTGCAGGCTCCTGTGGTGAGGGCCTGCACCGATCCTCCTGGGAGAAGGCAGAGGGGCGCCGCCTTGTCTGCCCTGTGCAGGACCCGCATACAATAGCTGTCACCCAGATGAGCCGTGGTTCGTGGTTTATGGCAAACTGAGTTGAGAACCCCCCCTGCTCCCTGACCCTAACCAGTTTCCCCACTCCAGTGCCTGGGAACTCTGCCGGCTCAAGCACCCCTGTTCTTCCTGTGACCCCAGGGATCCTGAGGTCACACTGTCCCACCTTGGATGCTGCCCCACCTTGCCACCAGAGCACCTTTCAGGCAGGGCTATCTCTTAGCGGAGAAGATTTCTAAAGGTTCTGATTTTGCGCTCTGGGGCTGTATCACTTGCCTGTGGCCGGCTTACACAGGCTCCCTCTCCCCGCAGAGGATCTTCCCATATATCCCCGCAGATTCACTTCTCCGCACCTCTTACTTTGCAAAAAGTGGTCACTTGTCTATTAGTAGAATTCCAGCAATTCCTTCCTTACATCTCAGGTTGAATTCAGAGGTGTCCAGGATGATTTGATAGTTATCTAGCTACATTCAAGGGACCAGATGAAACGAGCTCCCCTACCGTGCCACCATCTTGCCTCCCTCCTTCGATCTCTTCCTTTTGTTTTGAAAGATTTATTTATTTTAGAGAGTGAGCGGGGGAAGGGGCAGAGGGAAAGAAAAATCCTGAAGCAAGCAGACTCCCCGCTGAGGAGTTACTGCAGGCCCTGAGGAGAAAGAGAGAGAGAGAAAGAGGGACAGAAGGTATATATGAACAAATCATAGCTGAGAACTTTCCTAATCTGGGGAAGGATACAGGCATACAAGTTCAAGAGGTAGAGAGAACCCGTTTCCAAATCAATAAAAATATATCAGCACCCTGACATACAGTAGCGAAGCTTGCAAATTTCAGAAATAAAGAGAAAATCCGGAAAGCATCTCAAGACAAGAGGTTCCTGACCTAGACGGGTAGGAACATTAGGCTGGCAGCAGACCTATCCACAGAGATCTGGGAGGCCAGAAAGGGCTGACATCATCTATTCAGGGTACTAAATGAGAAAAACATACAGCCAAGAATACTTTCTCCAGCAAGGCTGTCATTCAGAATGGAAGGAGAGCTAAAGGGCTTCCTGGACAAATAGAAACTGAAAGACTATGGGACCACTAAACGAGCCCTGCAAGAAATACTAAAGGGGGGGACGCTTGGGTGGCTCAGTCGGCTAAGCATCTGCCTTCAGATCAGGTCATGATCCCAGGGTCCTGGGATCGAGCCCCGCACTGGGCTCCCTGCTCCGCGGGAAGCCTGCTTCTTCCTCTCCTACTCCCCCTGCTTGTGTTCCCTCTCTCGCTGTGTCTCTCTCTGTCAAATAAATAAAATCTTAAAAAAAAAAAAAAGAAAGAAAGAAATACTAAAAGGGATCCTCTATGCCAAGAGAGAGCCCAAAAGTAACACTGGACCAGAAAGAAAAAGATCTACAGAAACAGGGACTATACAGGTAATACAACGGTACTAAACTCATCTCTCTCAATAGTTACTCGGAATCTAAATGGGCTAAATGCTCCAATCAAAAGACACAGGGTAGGGGCGCCTGGGGGGCTCAGATGGTTAAGCGTCTGGCTTCGGCTCAGGTCATGATCCCAGGGTCCTGGGATCGAGCCCCGCATCGGGCTCCTGGCTCAGCGGGGAGCCTGCTTCTCCCCCTCTCCCTCTGCCTCTCTCCCTGCTCATGCTCTCTCTCGCTCTCTCTCTCTCTCCCTGTATCTCTGTGTCTCAAATGAATAAATAAAATCTTCAAAAAAAAAGTCATCATTTAAAAAAAAAAAAAAGACACAGGGTATCCGACTGCATAAAAAAGCAAGACCCATCCATATGCTATCTACAAGAGACTCATTGTAGAACTAAAGACACCTCCAGATCGAAAGTGAGGGGGTAGAGATCCATTGATCACGCGAATGGACCTCAAAAGAAAGCTGGGGTAGCAATCCTCCTATCAGACAAATTAGATTTTAAACCAAAGACTGTATTAGGGGATGAAGAAGGATGCTATATCATACTTCAAGGGCCTACCCAACGAGAAGATCTAACAATTATAAATATATATGCTCCTAACTTGAGCAGCCAATTACATAAACCAATTAAGAACCAAATGAAGGAAACACGACGAGAATCATACAATAACTGTAGGGGACTTCAACACCCCACTCCCAGCAATGCACAGATCATCTAAGCAGATGATCAACAAGGAAACAAGGGCTCTGAATGACACACTGGACCAGATGGACTTCACAGGTACATCACAGCATGCCATCCTAAAGCAACAGAATACACATTCTTCTACAGGGCACATGGAACATTCTCCAGAAGAGATCCCATACCGGGGCACAAATCAGGTCTCAACCGATACCAAAAGATTGGGATTATTCCCTGCCTCTTTTCAGACCACTATGCTTTGAAACAGGAACTCAGTCACAACAGGAAATAGGGAAGGAACTCAAACACTCGGAGGCTAAAGAGCATCCTACGAAAGAATGAATGCATCAACCAGGAAATCAAAGAAGAATTAAAGATTTCATGGAAATGAATGAAACTGAAAACACAGCCGTTCAAAACCTTTGGGATCCAGCAAAGGCGGTCCTAAGAGGAAAGTACATAGCAATACAAGCTTTCCTCAAAAAATCAGAAAGTCTCCAATACACAAGCTAACCTTACGCCCAAAGGAGCCGGAGAATGAACAGCAACTAAAGCCGAAACCAAGCAGGAGAAGAGAAATTATAGAGATTAGAGCAGAAAACAATGAAATAGAAACCAGAAGAACAGTAGAACAATCAATGAAACCAGGAGCCGGTTCTTTGAAATTATTAATAAGCTTGATGAACCTCAAGCCACACTTATCCAAAAGAAAGGGGAAAGGACCCAAAATAATAATGTCATGAATGAAAGAGGAGAGATCACAACCAACACCAAAGAAACACAAACCATCTTAAGAACACACACAGCAACTATAGGACAACAAATGAGGTCACCTGAAAGAAATGGATGCGTTCCTGGAAACTTGTAAGCCACCAAAACTGAATCAGGAAGAAATACAAAACCTGAACAGACCCATAACCAGCAAGGAAACTGAAGCAGTGATCAAAAAATCTACCAACACACAAGAGTCCAGGGCCACATGGCTTCCCAGGGGCATTCCACCAAACATTCAAAGAAAAACTAATACCTATTCTTCTGAGGCTGTTTCAAAAAACAGAAATGGAAGGAAAACTTCCAAACTTGTTCTCTAAGGCCAGCATGACCTTGATCCCAAAAACAGACAAAGACCCCATGGATGCAAAAATTCTCAGCACAATACTAGCGCATAGGATCCAACAGCACATTAAAAGGAGTATTCACCGTGACGAAGTGGGATTTATTCCTGGGCTCTAAGGGTGGTTCCACATTCGCAAATCAAATCAATGTGATACTTCACATTAATAAAAGAAAGGTCAAGATCCGTATGATCCTCTCAACGGATGCAGAAAAAGCACCGGACAAAATGCAGCATCCTTTCTTGATTAAAACTCTCCACAGTATAGGGGTAGAGGGGATATACCTCAATAACATAAAACCCATCTATGAAAAGCCCACAGCGAATATCATTCTCAATGGGGAAACACGGAGACCTTTTCCTCTAAGGTCAGGAACATGACAGGGAGGCCCACTCTCACCGCAGTTCTTCAACTAGAGAAGTCCTAGCCTCAGCAATCAGAAAACAACAAAAAAGAAATCAAAGGCATCCGACTGAGCAAAGAAGTCAAACTCTCACTCTTTGCAGATGACATGATACTTTATGTGGAAAACCCAAAACACCACCCCAAAATTGCTAGAACTCATACAAGAATTCAGCAGGATATAAAATCAATGCACAGAAATGAGTTGCATTTCCATACACTAACAATGAGACAGAAGAACGAGAAATGAAGGAATCGATCCCATTTACAAATGCACTGAAACCCATAAGATACCTAAGAATAAACCTAACCAAAGACGTAAAGGATCTGTACTCCAAAAACTACACAACACTTAGCAAAGAAATTGAGGAAGACACAAAGAAATGAAACAACGTTCCATGCTCATGGATTGGAAAAACACTGTTAAAATGTCTACACAGAGTAATCGAACCATTCGATGAGATCCCCATCAAAATACCATCAACTTTTTTCACAGACTGTAACAAATCATCCTAAAATGTGTATGGAACCAGAGAAGACCCCGAATGGCCAGAGGAATGTTGATAACGAAAACCAAAGCTAGTGGCATCACAATGCCAGACTTCAAGCTAGAGTACAAAGCTGTAATCATCAAGACAGTATGGTTCTGGCACAAAAACAGACACATGGATCAACGGAACAGAAGACAGAACCCAGAAATGGACCCTCAACTCTATGGTCAACTAATCTTCGACAAAGCAGGAAAGAATATCCAGTGGAAAAAGGACAGTCTCTTCAATAAATGGTACTGGGAAAACTGGACAGCCACATGTAGAAGAATAAAACGGGACCATTTTTTGGCACCATACACAAAGATAAACTCAAGATGGATGGAAGACCTTACTGTGAGACAGGAATCCATCAAAATCCTAGAGGAGAACACAGGCAGGAAGTTCTTCGACCTCAACCGCAGCGACTACTTGCTACATACATCTACAAAGGCGAGGGAGCAAAAGCAAAAATGAACTATTGCAACTTCATCAAGAGAAAAAGCTTCTGCACAGCAAAGGAAAAGGTCCGCAAAACTAAAAGGCAACCTACGGAATGGGAGAAGATATTTGCAAATGTCTTATCAGATGAATGGATAAAGAAGATGTGGTATATATATATATGTGTGTGTGTGTATGTGTGTGTATATATATACACATATATATATGTGTGTATATATACACACACATACACACAATGGACTATTACCCAGCCAACAGACAAGATGAATACTTACCATTTACATGCACACGGATGGAACTGGAGGGTATTATGCTGAGCGAAATAAGTCAATCCGAGAAAGTCAAATATCAAATGGTTTCACTCATATGTGCAATATAAGAAACAGGGCAGAGGACTGTAGGGGAAGGGAAGGAAAACAGAATGGGAAGTCATCAGCGATGGAGAAAAACCGTAAGAGAGTCTTAACTCTAGCAAACAAACGGGAGGGTTGCTGGAGGGGTGGTGGGTGGGGGGATGGAGTAATTCGGTGATGGGCACTAAGGAGGGCATGTGATGTGATGAGCACTGGGTGTTATATGAAACTGACAAACTACTGAACACGACATCTGAATCTAATGATGTACTGTAAGTTGGCTAATTGAATTTACATTAAAAAAAGTAATAAATAAACCAAATGGAGTTGGTCTTCTGTTACACCCTGGAATGTCCTAAGTGGTATTCTGAGCGCATCAGTTCATTTCCATTTGCTTGATGAGTAAGCTGAAAGGGGTAGGGGGTGTGGGGGGGGAGGGGAGGGGGTGTGTGTGTGGGGGGGTGTGCACGCTCGTGTGTGTGTGTGTATGTGTATGTGATGTCACCCAGCTGGGTTCTGAGCTCCCAGAAGCAGACAGATAATATATCTTCTCTTCATATCCACTGACAAGGCTTACCGCTGCCTGGACTACAGTAGGTGCTAATCCTGTACAAACACGCCCCCCGCCATCTCCCACGTCCATATTCCCACATCCACAGACACCCATAAGGAAGCACATACCTACTGCTGCTCAAGGCAGCAGCTCAACACAGAAACACACCAAGTACTCACTAAGGGACACAACTTGCTACAGCCCAGACTGTCAAGGAAAACTGACCCACAGAGTTTTACAAGGCTGAACAGGCTGCGTTGTCTAAAACAGTGCTTTTCAAACAGTGGATTGTGACCCATCCGTGTCATAAAATCAGTGTAATAGTTTGCAAATCCCCGTCTTAGAAAATGCAGTCAGCTAGAGTAAACTAGAAAAAATCAGTATGCGTTACATACTGTACGAGTTAAAGACTGTTTCTGTGAAGTTGTTGAAGTGTGTGTTTGGGGTATAAGTGCCATGAAAAATCTGTTCTCTACACCAACAAAAAAAATAGACCCTTAAACACCGAGAGCAAACTGATGGTTGCCAGACGGAAAGGGGGGGGGCGAAATTGGTCAAAGGAATTCAGAGTTACAAGCTTCCACTTATATAAATAACTCACAAAGATGAAAAGTACAACATCCGGAATATAGTCCAAGAATATTGTCATAACAACTGTACCGTGACAGATGGTGACTATACTTAATCGTGGTGAGTGCTGAGTAATGAACAAACTTGTCGAATCACGATGCTGCACACCTGAAACTGACATAACATTGTACAGATCAACGAAACTTCCATAATGAAAAGAGAAAAAACTGTGTTCTCACTGTGGGTGGTTGGATGAGCACTGTCCTCACAGCCTTCATCTGGTGCCATCCAGTGGTAAAAGCCCTATCTGCAGTCGAGAAAGAACCACAGACCCGGGAGAAGAGTCCGCAAACATGGATGTCTGGTTGGAAGGGGCCTTCCAAATGACCTGGTCGACCCTGACATGCAGGGCAAGCACCCTTCAACAACACCGAGCTACTGCCTGAGCACGCCCCACCACGGAGGCACTCGCTCCCCCGCTGAGCAGCTCTACCTGCTGAAAAGCTGACCAAGCCGCCTTCCTCTAGGAGCTCCTCCCTGTCCTTCCTACTGCCCTCTCCTGGATGACAAGGAGCAGCTTCTGTGCTCGCCCTCAGTTTAACACTCTTGATCCAGTCAAGCAATACTTGTTGAGTGTCTGCTAAGTGCCAGGCACTGGGGATACAGTGGGGAACCCGGGAAGACACAGCGACAGAGACACAGAGAAGTCAGAGCTTATGCCAGATGAAGGACAACAGCATGGGGGCAGGAAGCGCCTCGGAATGTTCCAGTAGCAGAAGGTATACAGGGAGGTTGAAGAACAGCAGAGAAACAGGTGAAAGCTCAGAGATTTCTGCGCTGTATGTGTTTTCATTTCTCTCTGTTTTATAATTTTTCTAAACTAACCATAGGCCATATTTCATTCTAAGACACCATCAATTGTAAGACTGAAAAAAGAAAAAAGAAACACTGCCAGTTAGTCCATGTCTTTCTTATTGCTTACAATTCTCATTTCATGTTTATGAAAAAGCCCTTTTAGACTTTTGGGACAGAACAAAAGGGAAAGGATGAGTGACATGAGTTGGTCAAGTCTTCCCTTTCAGGAGATCTGTGAGTTGCCACACAACACTGACCTTCGAGCCGCCAAGGGCACTGGCGAGGCTGAGTTTCTGAAGAGATCGCCATCACCGGCTCTGAGATTGCTTTCCAAGCTCCCGACCCTCCAGGTGTAGGCTGTGTTCCTCTGTCTTTCTTGATCTCGTCAGAAGGTCTCAACGGATGGTTCTGGAATAGCAATCGGGATTTGCGCTCCTTCTTCAAATGGCCCTTAAATGGTACGTGGACCGAAGCAGCCAGGGGCTGCAGGTGCAGCGGTCCAGCCACGCCACGAGGAAGACCGAGCACGTCCACGTGCACAGATAATGACAACTCCAACATGGTGCACAGTGACTGCAGGACACATCAAGAGTGAATCTGGGCGCCTGGGTGGCGCAGTCTGTTGGGCAACCGAGTCCTGGCTGAGGCTCAGGTTGTGATCTCAGAGTCTTGACATGGAGCCCCACGTCTGGCTCCGCACTGGGCGTGCAGCCTGCTTGGGATCTTTCTCTCTCCCCTCCCCTCCCCTCCCTACCACCGTTCACATGTGTTCTCGCTCTCAAAAAGTTAAACAAATAAATAGATAAAATAAAACCCAAAGAATGAAAGATCTCTTTATTTATTTTTTCTTTATTGTGCTATGCTGGTCACCATACAGTACATCGGTTAGTTTTTCATGTAGTTGTTCCATGATTCATTGTTTGCGTATAACACCCAGGGCTCCATGCAATACGTGCCCTCCTTAATACCCATCACCGGGCTAACGCATCACCCCACATCCCTCCCCTCTAACACCCTCTGTTTGCTTCTCAGAGTCCATAGTCTCTCATGGTTAGTCTCCCCCTCCGATCTCGCCCCCTTCATTTTTCCCTTCCTTCTCCTAAAGTCGTCCACGCAATTCCTTATGTTCCACAAGTAAGTAAAACCATATGATAAGTGACTTTCTCTGCTTGACTTAAGATGTCATATTTAGGGGCGCCTGGGTGGCTTAGTCGTTAAGTGTCTGCCTTCGACTCAGGTCATGATCCCAGGGTCCTGGGATCGAGGCCCGCGTCGGGCTCCCCGCTCAGCGGGAAGCCTGCTTCTCCCTCTCCCACTCCCCCTGCTTGTGTTCCCGCTCTCACTGTCTCTGTCAAAATAAAGAAATAAAATCTTTAAAGAAGGAAAAAAAAGATCCCATATTTAGAAAGACCTTTTCTCAGGGTTTATTCAATCCAGTGTTCCCTGCAATTTTCACTTCTTTTTAGTACCCAGGTCTGACGTGCTACCTAATATTTTCTTCTAACACACCCTGTAATAAATACCTATTAAAATGTAAAACTTCTATCTGGGTGCCACCTCAAGTCATCTCCCATTCCTCCCGTGGGAAACACTGATCTGCTGCAGCCACCAGTTCATTCAAGAAGCACTGACTGACTTGGCCCCTTCGGCAGGAGCGTCCCCTGCAACGGTGGGAACTTGCTAGGAAAGGTGTGACATGCCCTCCACCGGAGGGAATGGGAAGGGGCCCTCCCCGCTCTTCCAGCCAGTGAGGGTCCAGGCTGGGGCTGCTTCATTTCACTTCTCATCAACACTCATGAGTGCTGGCTACAATGCCAGGCATTATTCCACACGCTGGACAAACAGGAACACGTACAGCCCTCAGAAGCACCCTCTGTGGAAGGCACCGCTTACAGACAGAGGTCGAGGTTGTTTCCTCAAGCTGTGCAACCTCGGAGGAAACTTAATTCCATTGCTTTGCAAACCTACTTACCCACTTGGACTTCCATCCCTCCCCCAACACTTCAGTTGCTGATATGGTGTCGGTGTGTATGTGTGTCTGCTTCTGTAGGGATACACAGTGCATGTAAGATAGATAGATAGATAGATAGATAGATAGATAGATAGATAGATAGATAGATAGATAGATATGCGGTGCCCTGTATGTACATATATATGTACCTACAATGTATATATCTGCAATTGCAAGACTCAATCCAATACTCTCAGCATCGGTTTTCAAGTTGGGAATTTTAACTGCATGCTGCATACGGGCCTTGAAGATATGCTCTACCTCTCATTTTTAATTTTATTGTTGTTCTTTTACGTCCTCTAGTCTCAGTTTTGGGTTCCTATTTCCTGTTGCGTTTATTCTTGCTTATAAATGGAAGGCAGGAAGCAAAGTCTTACGCGCAACAGACTTTGTACCTACACAGACTTTGAGTTTGTTTCCCTTCTTGTGAGCGCTGTTGCTTTCCTCAGCAGATCCGCAAGGCCTTAAGTGTTTAATCACCTAAGAAAAACAAAACAAAAACAAAAGACAAAAAAACACGAAAAACAGGGGTGCCTAGGCGGCTCAGGCGTTTAAGTGTCTGACACTTGATTCGGCTCAGGTCATGACCTCAGGTTCCTGAGATCGAACCCCGTGTTCAGGCTCCACGCTCAGTGCAGATTCTGCTTGTCCCTCTCCCCCTGCCCCCCTCCACTCTGTCTCGCTCTCTCAAATAAATAAATAAATAAATAAATAAATAAATAAATAAATAAATAAAATCTTAAAACAAAAAAACAAAAAACAACACTGGGCCTCAATTGACTAAGACTCACAGGCTATCATTTCCTCCCAAAGGAAGCTACTGCTATTGCTTTCTGGCTTCATCGAATTGCCAGTTACTTCACAAGGATCAATAGGATCTAAAATCTACTGTCTCTACTGCAAGGAGTCCCTGAACACTGGGCAAGACATGAACGGAAAAGGAACCAACATTGACCAGAGGGTGAATAAGGGGGAGAAGCCAATCAGAAATTTCCCACGGTACAATGTCTCATATCTGACTTAAACAAAAAAGAAAAAAGAAAAAAACAGTTAATAAAGAATACACTAATAAGATACCATGGATCTGAATAATGCTAAAGTACTTTTGGAAAAAATAAAACATTTAAGAACACGTATTCTGAATATTTTCTCCCAGTCTGTCTTGCCTCTTCGTTTTCTTAGTGTATCTATTTTTCCTTTCTAATTAGAACTTTTTGTGTTCTGCATACAAAACATTTGTCTACCTCAAGGTTGTCAAGACATTTTCCCATGTTTTCATACAAAAGTTTTACGGTTCTAGCTTTTTCCTTTTTTAAGATTTATTTATTTGAGAGAGAGCGCGCCCAGGGGGGAGCAGGAGAGGGAAAGAATCTCAAGCTGACTCCTCGCTTAGCGTGGAGCCTGACACAGGGTTCACACGGAGCTCAATCTCATGACCCCGAGATCATGACCTCAGCCAAAATCAAGAGTCGGACTCAAGCGACTGAGCCACCCAGGCGCCGCTGGTTCTCGCTTTCATATTTAGGCTTATGATTCATCCCAAATTAATGTGTGTATGTCAGAATGAGGGAGGGGTCAAGGTCCGTTTTCTTTCCGCCTGAATGTCCAGGTCACACAGAATTATTCATTAAAAAGACTTCCCTTTCCACCACTGAACTGACTGGACACTCTGGGCAAAAATCAGTCGACAGTACTTGCGTTTGGTCTATTTTTTGGACTCTCTGCTCTGCTCATTGATCTCTCTTTGTGTCACAGACTTGGATTACTGTGGCTTTGCTCTAAGTCTTAAAATTAAGCAAGAAGAAGCAGTGTAAGTTCATCAACTGTGTTCTTCTTTTGAAGACTTTTTTGGCTATTCCAGACCCTTTGCATTTCCATATACATTTTAGAATCAACTTGTTCATTTCTTCTAAAAAACATGGCTAGGATTTAACTGGGATTGCACTGTTTGCATGAATCAAGGCGTGGAGAACAGAAATCTCCAGGACATCAAATCTTCCCCGATGTATGAACAAAACAGAGCTCCCATTTATTTCAGTCTTCTTGAATTCCTCTCAACAAAGTTTTTTACTTTTCTGTGTAAAGGTGTTTCATGTCTTTCATGAGACTTATTCCCAGCCAGTTTGGGGTTGTTTTGGTTGTTGTTTTTGTTGTGTAAGTAGGCTCCACACCCAGCATGGAGCCCAGTGCAGGGCTTGAACTCACAACCCTGAGTTTAAGACCTGAGCTGAGATCAAAACACAGATGATTCATCAACTGGGCCAGCCAGTCACCCCAACCAGTTTACGTGCTTTGATGCTACTCTAAGTATTTAAAATTTTTATTTTCCTATACATGTATTTTTAAAATACATCTGTATGACAAAGAATTCCTATTCAGAATATATAATAAACTCCAATAAGTCAAAACCAAAAACAACATTAACAACAAAAACGGGCAGAAGACTTGAACGTTCGACAGGTCACAAAAGATGTCGGAATGCCCAAGAAACACACGAAAAGGTGCCTAAGATCATGCTTCACCAGGGAAATGCAATGTGAAACCATAATGAGATGCTATTTCACCCTCACTGACAACACAGAATGTTCACGAGGATGCTGAGCAACTGGAGTGTTACTGTATTGCTGGTGGGAAGTGTAAACTGATAAACCACTTTGGAAATTAGTCTAGCAGTTCAATATATCCCTTCGCTGTGACTAAGCAATTCCACTAAGCAATTTCAAGAGAAATTTAAGACTGCTCTAAGAATGTTTATTGTAGCCTATTCACAATGACCAAAAAATTGGATACAACAACATGCCTGATCATCAGATGAACAGATGAAAAAATTGTGGTATATGCACACTACATACAAAGGACCACACCATTTTACACTCACAAAGACTCTCTCCTTAAGCAAACGCTAGCCTGACTCCTCTGAGCCCTCTTCTCAAAGGGGCCTCAACCTTGGCTTATCATATGCAGACTCGCCCAAACACTAACATACTTCCTAACAACAGCTCAAGACCCCACCCCTAGGGTGACTCCAGTCACCCTTAGTCCCTACTGAGAAAACTCAAGGCATCCATGGTTTGTTCAGCCAACAATGAAAAGTCTGGCCTCTGTCTCCCAGTGAGTAAATCCAGGGGGTTTCACGTTTCCCACTTTTTGTAATCTTTTACTTCTCTGACTTTATTCACCTCTGGCATGACTCCCTCATCCTCTCTTTATAATGCCCTCTGCGGGGTGCCTGGGTGGCTCAGTTGTTCAGCCTCCACCTTTGGCTCACGTCACCATCCCAGGGTCCTGGGATTGAGCCCCACATCGGGCTCCCTGCAGAGCAGGGAGCCTGCTTCTCCCTCCTCCCACTCCCCCTGCTTGTGTTCCCTCTCTACCTGTCTCTCTCTCTGTGTCAAAAAATAAATAAAATCTTTAAAACGTAAAATACCCTCTGTACAAATCAAGGTTGAGTTTCATTCATGCTGGACTCTTTTCCTGACTGCAATAGTCATTGCTGATTAAAATCTGTCCTTACCACTTAAAGTAGGATCTGGCTTTGTGTATCTTGGATAAGTGCACACAACACGGATAAATCGCAAAGAACACACTGAGTGAAAGAAGACAAAACGATACATACTGCTTGATTCCATTTACACGACGTACAAGAAAAGACAATTATACTCTATCATAGATCCTGAAATCAGAAAATGACCACTGGAGGTAAGGAGATTAACTAGAAAGAGATACAAAGGAAACTTCTGGAGTTTCAGATACAGTTTTCGGGGATGGTGCACAGATATACAGTTGGCCCTTGATCAACCCAGGGGTTAGGGGCGCTGACCCCTGTGCAGTCCAAAATTTTCATTTAACTTTTACTCCCCAAAAACTTCCCTGCTAATTGCCTACTGACGACCAGAAGTCTTACTGATAACATAAACGGTTGATTAACATAGATTTTGTATGTTACATTTATTATACATTGTATTCCTTCAATAAAGTACACTAAAGAACATATTCAGAAAATCATACAGAAAATATGTTTACAGTACTGTATTCTATTTATCGAAAAATCTGTCTATAAGTGGACCCATGCAATTCCAACCCATGTTGTTCAAGAGTCAACTGTATACATTTCTTAATGCTCATCAAGCTGAACAATGAGACCTGAGCATTTTATTTTACAAATTATCTCCTTTTCTCCCCTGCCGTCCCACCTCTGTCACTGAAGAATACCTGGGGAGATTATTGTCTTTGTTTCTTTTTTTTAAATAGGCAACACACCCAGCACGGAGCCCAATGTGGGGCTTGAACTCACAACCCTGATATCCAGACCTGAGCTGAGATCAACAGTCAGATGTTCAACCTGACTGAACCACCCAGGCACCCCTACCTGGGGAAATTCCAAAGGAAAGAAAAAAAGATGAGAGATGGAGCTGACCCACCAAGTTCCCCTTTCTTTCTTTCTTTCTTTCTTTCCCTTTCTTTCTTTCTTTCTTTCTTTCTTTCTTTCTTTCTTTCCTTTTTTTTTTTTAAAGATTTTATTTATTTACTTGACAGAGAGAGAGAGACAGCTAGAGAGGGAACACAGCAGGGGCAGTGGGAGAGGGAGAAGCAGGCTTCCCGCTGAGCAGGGAGCCCGATGCGGGGCTCGATCCCAGGACCCTGGGATCACGACCTGAGCCGAAAGCAGAGGCTTAACAACAGAGCCACCCAGGTGCCCCAATCCGAGTTCCCCTTTCAATATCCACTTACGCCTGCTTCCTTACAAAGAGGGCCCCAATTTTGTTCGAGGTATTAATCTGCCCTGTGAGAAATTCTCCCCCCTGCCACGTCCCTGCAGCTAGGGGTAGGGCCACATGACGACTTCCAGCCAATGACACGTATGTTGAAGTCTACATGGCAGGACTACCTAAAAAGCTATTGCTTTCACAGGCTTAGACACATGTTTTTTGTCAGGGTCCCTTTCTTTTCTTTCTTCCTAGAGTACAGCTGCTCAAATGAACTAAGAAAAGGGTGCTATTCAGCGGTACAAACCTATTCTTACTCTAGAAGCAAGCTATAGGCGCTCTCAATCAATTCACAACTAAGTTATATCGCAAGGCAAAATGTTCAGGCATCAAAAGGAAAAAAGCAATTCCAACTGGAAGTGAAGAACGATATACCCATGTCTGTGTCAAAGTATATATAAAAATTTAGCATTTAAGGGCTCTTTCAAATCCATGGGGGATACAGACCATCACTAGATGGTGTAGGGACAAAAGTGCTACCTTGTAACATACAAAATAATAAAGACAGATGAATGGTCTAAGCAACAGAAGCCCAAACCCTAAAAGTGCTAAAAGAAAATGCAGCGATTGAAAATGGTCTTTTGAAGCATTATCCAAAGCCACAAGCTATAAAGTTAGACTATGAGATTGGGCACCACAGAGATTCAGAATGAAATGTATCCTGAAATGTATGGGGTACAAGCGAAACCGAAAGACAATCGTTTGGGAGAAAAT